TATTTATGCCCCCGATATGGAATTTACTTAGATCGCAAAATTAATAATCATTAAAAGTTCATGCACATTTACATGCATATGATCAAAATACTAGAACTTATTAGAGGCAAAGATGACTGATACCAAACTGGGAAATATGCTTTCCTCCTTCTCCCCATCATATATATAATGTTAAGCATATGCAGAGGGAAAATTTCATTCACAAAGTATGCACAACACACGAATTATGTATTTTACTTCTCCAAGAAATTTATGAGGAACACATTCCTTCACACTATAGGCAAATCATGAAACTGTATCTTAACTTATCAAACAAATATATAGAATGAGGAAAGATCAATTTACTCCTATTGATGTTTGAACTCCATCCATTCTGACTTTTCTAATAGGCAATAAACTTTAAACAAACAAATCTAGGAGCCAATATCTGCAACAGTAGTGGCAGATAAATCTTAAAAGACATGCTTAACACAGCTGTTTTGGCTCCAATTGCCTATAATAAAACTACCGATAAGGATTTGAAAGGCACCCAAAAAGACGACGAAACTGTTTAATGCAAACAGTAATATGAAAATACACTATCCACAAACATATGCGCACATACACCCTTGGCAACTAAATGCATGAATAAAGACAATCACAAATTCATAATACCACTTACATTACTCTGATAGAAGTGAACGTTGATAAGTTATCCCCTAGCTGTCCTCCCAAATTAGCACCATTAAGAATTCTGAACACCCCCAGATAAAAAGTGTAAGAAACCTTAAAAATGGTAATGCTGTGAAAACCAATCCTTATGAAGAGTAAAGAATGTTCCCTACATGCTCAAAATTTCCGTACCGTTGCACTGAACTCCTTGCCACCCTTCTGCACATGGGTCTCCCCCGGAACCAACCCACCCAGGAAGTACAGGAGAACCCATTGCGATGTATAAGGCGTTAATTGCAGCAACTAATGTAATCACAGCCAATGCAGGTCGTTAGAATTATGAACATATTAATATCTTCAGCATACAAAGTGCTTAAATGTAGAAGATAGAAACAGCTGAGATAGACAAACAATATAGTGGCAACTAAATTTTCCAAAGAAGTTAACCTTTCTATTTTTTTTAAAAAAAAAAATTGACAATAATATGGAAAGCAAATTTCTAATATTCCCCTTCTTGTGATCTATAAAACAAAAATCAGAAATCAACTCGCTCAACAGAATCATTCCCGGGCAACAAATATAAACAGAAGCTCGAGAATACACACTACAAACTCGCCACTGACTTCCTCGCAATTTCTTAGCAAACAAACAAGATATTCCGTAGAAACAAAATGAGAAACTAGCTTTACCATCATCAGGATTAGTGACAGCACGTGAGACTCGCGTTGCCCAGATCAGCATAAACGCCACAATGAACACTTCATAGATCTTCATACTCCTGTACTCCATGGCAGATCCCTTCTTCCCCATTGATGCCAGCCAAACTCAACTTCACTCACTCAACAAGTCAAAAACTCCACATCAACATGAACCAACCAAACAACCCCCCTAATCTGAGAGAATCAAACCACACCCAAACAAATTAAGCATATCAAAATCAGTGATCTCATCACAGCTGACCCAATTCACAGCAGCCTGTAACAAAACCTGCAAACCCAAAAACAATCAAACAAAAAACTAAACACTTAATCACCCAAATGAGAGAAATGATTACTTACAAGATTGAGGAGTAAAATTAACGAAGTCTCTCTAGCAAATGTGGAAACATAATTGAAGCAATAGAAACGGACCCAATAACAAGTAGGAAAAAGGGCAGATAACTTTTCAAAAAGTAACTAGATATTTCTTTTAAAAAAAAAAAAAATTGGAGGAAAAAAATTACAAAGAAGCTTAGGAGTTAAGATTCAAAGATTCCAAGGTTGTTTAACTGGTGGGGTGAGATAAGCAAGCAAAAACATTATATAAATAAGAAATTGAACCCAGAAAAAGAAAAAAAGAAGAGGAGAAAAAGAGCAAACCTGAAGATAAAAAAAGAAATGGAGAAAGGAAGAAAAAGCTATGGAGGAAAGGATGTAGAGAGATGTTCTTTCTGAAAATGGGAAAAATGAAGAACTAAACCTCTATACTTTATACTTATTTTTCTCTGTCAATTTGTTTTTTTTAATTTATTTAATTAATTTGGAAAATGAGTAAGTGAAATTTGAGTCTAGTAGATAGAAGTAGTAGACAAGAAAAACACACTATATGTATGCGTGGCTTCGGAGTCATGCATATCTTCTTAATATTGTTTCCTTGCCCTTCCCCGACGCGCTACTTCTGCGCGTGTACTTGTAGTTATTA